CAACAACTAACTCTTCCCTAAGTTCCTCTAACCCTCCTTTTGGTGACAAAGAGGGTGGATCATGAATCCTTCATAAAGAAAGCTTGAATGTTTGAGTGTATTGAAAAAAGATTAATTTTTTAAAATGAACTAATCGTGACTCAAAATATTATAATTATAAATATCAAAATAAATAAATAAATAAATAAATAAATGAACCTTAGGATTATTTGTGAAGATTTAGTTTGACAATGTTACCTAATGTTGTTCTATAATTATTAGAAATATTATGTTATACTGCTAAAAAAAAACATTTTAGTGTTTGGTAATTATATTTCAAAAAAATTATTTATTGTAAAATTATTCAATAAGACATATTATTATTTAAAATTAAATTAATTAATAATTTAATATATAATAAAAAAAGATTTGAAAATTTTATTAATTTTAAATAAGATGAAATTTTTTATTCTTTTCTGAAAAAATATGAATAAATAATTTATCAAATGTATAAATTAAAAAAATATATATTATAAGATATGTTGTCGAATTAAGTCTTAGATGATTCATCAGACAACAAATTACATGGACCCACAAATGTACGGTGTTGTATTTTGTGCAGAGAAAGCAGAGGATTTTTGTCTTTTGCCAAAGGTTAAACAGGAGATTAAGTGGACATGGCCCTATGAAGCCCAAAGGGTTAATTGAAGCCCATTTGTCACTGAAAATGGGAATCGCTGTTGGGGATAAAAATGCTCACAAAGTAAAGATGCCCCCACTCAAAAGCATTGGTTGTTGATTTGGCACTAAGGAATTTGCCCCCAAATCTGATATGGCAATTCCTTATAGGCTGCCGTTTCCTCTCTTTTTCTCCTTTTATTCTTCAATTTTACGGACATTTTCTTTTAAAGAACTTAAAAATCCCTTGCTTTATTGCTGAAATTGACACCCATTTTTTATATTTCCATCATGAGTATTTTGGCCCATAATTTAGTGCTTAATAAAGATAATATAATAAAAAAAAAAATTTATATGATGATTTGATGCAACGGGAGGCCGCGTCACAACACAATACAACAAGTCATGATTCCTTGCATTTTTATATAATCATCACCTTTTTGTAAAGAGAGGATAAAATTATTCCTTTAATTAGTAAACTATTTTTTCCTCATTTTTCATGTATTTTGATTTGTTTTAAGAAGTTGAATTAGAGTTTGTTTTGTCAAATCAAATCACATCTCATAATCATTTTTGTGATTTTTCTCTATGATAGTAATCAATAACCTTCCATGCGCTCACGCATGGACATATATTTTCATAGGTGATGGTGATGATGATAATGATTATTGTTATTGATGAATGTTGTTTAATAAATTCAAATGCAATGTTGGGACCAAAGGATTGACCATTTCTTCCTTTAGCCATAGTGGATACAAATACTTGTTTAAGAGTTTACAGTAACTTCTTTTGCTAATGCTTTTCCAACCAACTTTGCCAAGGATAAGATCAAAGCAAATGTTCATCTACTGAAGTAAAAAAGTGGAGATGAGAAAAAGAAAAAAGGCTCATCTTCTTTCCAATGGCAATATGGCATGAATTTATAGTAGTCGTTAGTTCAAGTTTTTATTGGTAACGATTACACATGCTTATCTCCAGAAAAAAAAGATTCTTATCTGAGATTTTTCTAAACCTCATTTGTTACTTTATTGCTATACCAAAAAGCTTTGTTGACTCAATCATTGTATATATATATTTTTAACAAATTCGTAATGAGCCGAATTCAAATCGTTACCCTGAGGATGGGAGAATGTACTTATACGTGACATGACGCTACTGGACTTGAAAGCACGACTCAATCATTGTATTTAGAGCAATTATTCCCATCCAAATACATTTCCATTTATCACAAAATCAGCTTTTATCAGGCTAGTCCAATTACTATGTTTGTTCTGGGCAAGTGTTCCCAACATGGAAGTAGAGTGTAGACTTATCCTAAAACTAGGGCTTCTGGCGGGCATGGTATATAGGCCCACGATTGTTTTTCTTTTTTTTTTTTTGATTATACGGGCTGATTTTACATCATAGGCCTATAAAACAAAAAAGTCTGACTTAACGTCCATTTCTGTGCCTGAACTTGGAGGCCTTATTATCTCATTTATCTGAACCCAACAATATTTGATCTTTGTCATGCTTGGCTGGTTAGTAAGTTCTATCCATGCATCGTGCAAACCCATAAAGCATCAAAGATCAATATCCTTCCTTCAAAAAAAATATATATATATATGTATGGCTTGAGGAAATTATTTTATATTTATCTGCAATGTACTGTACATTTTTCTAAGTCAGCTCAGTGACTGGCATGAGTGAATTTAAGGAGAGCCAGCAGCAAAATTGATATTTTCTTGTCATGTTATGGCAGATATTTCTCGGGCTACCCATATTACCCCGAGTGAACACCCAGCAGGAAAAAACGGAAGTATAAAATGTTTGCTAGCTTCGGAGTCTAAGGAACCAAATTTTTGTACAAAATACTGTCCATCCAAAATTGATAACTCCAATAATCTCACAAACAATACAAGACACTTTGTCGTCTCCATTTCTGTTATTAATTTGGCTTCTGAAACATGATGCAAGTATCCATCGTTTCCGTGGAGCTTTTGCATCTCCTAATGCTTTCCTCACCCCTTAAGGAAATCATTAGCATACAATACCCTCTACTTAATATTTTACAACTCTAATATGTTACAACAATTCTACAAGCCATAGCAAAATACTGATCATGCCCAAAAGGCCAATTTTGGAGGCCTATGGCTCTGGACTAAAATTCCAGCTATCCGTCGCTTCCTTTCTCTTGGTATCAGAATCTTTTCCGATGACTATGCCAACTACTTTGCAGGGCTCGGCGTCTTCTAACATTTGAACAAGACTTCTCATTGTGGATCTTAGCTCTGGTAGCCTTGCCGTGCACAGAATTGCAATTCTGAGTACCTTGATGGCATCATCTTTATAGGCACTTGGGATTTTTGGGTCTGCAATGCTTAGTGTGCTCTCTCTGGTCTTTAATTTGCTGCAAACCCAATGAACCATATTCTTGCCCTCTCCATATTCCAGCTCTATTGGGCTTTTCCCGCTCACTAGCTCCATCAATCACCACTCCAAAAGTATAAACATCACTCTTCTCGTTCACTTTGCATGCGTAGCCATATTCTGAAAATTAAACATTCACACTAGTAAAGAATCGGTAAAAACTAAATAAATGCATTGCTTCAAGATTTATAAAAGGAAATTCACTCACCAGGAGCTATGTAACCATGGGTACCGGCAGTGACATGCGCGGAGTCCTTACTAGAATTGGCCTGAACAATCTTGGCAAGGCCAGAATCAGCAATCCTAGGCTTCAAGAACTTATCCAACAATATGTTACTGGACTTGACATCCGGTGAATCACCGATCTCTCACATCCATGGTGAAGATACTCGAGTCCCTTTGCGGCCCCTAACCCGATCTCGTGCCTTGTTTCCCAATCGAGTTCGAGTTTTTTACAACCATGAAGCCTATTGCACAACCTACCATTAGGCAAGTACTCATATACCAACAAGCTTGAGTCCTCACTAGTCACTAGTAATGCTGCAGTACAACTTCTCCACATTGACATGCCTAATAGAGCACAACGTCTGTACCTCTGCATCGAACTCCTTTGACTTCCCGACACGTTTCCCGATCACTGGGGTTGTGATCCGGGGCTTTTTCCGGCCGCCAGAATCCGTGTTCCATATATGTTTCACTGCAAGTTCTAAACCATTAGAAAGCATAACACTTTTAACGTTACCGGAGCCTCCCTTTCCAATTAGATTATCTGGTTTGATGGAATCAAGAAATCTCATCCTCACTAAAAGCCAAAACATGGAAGGATTTCACATCCCAAGATTCTTCCTTTAAAGAACGTTCATGATCCTTTTATCTTTTCCTCAAGTATAAGAAACATCCGATGGTGACGAGCAGGATGACTGACCCTAAAGCAAAACAAACAATTGCGTACGGACTGTTAAGGAAAGTGCTACTTGATATGATTCTCTCATTAAAGGAGGAATGTATCTTTGACTCTCGTTACTAATATATGAATCTTTGATTCTGGACTGTGTAAATGGAAACTAGTTTTTTGTTTTCCTTTTTATGTATCTTGGCCAATACTTTACTGCTGTATATATATGTTCGATTATTAATAATAATACCTAAGGGTGTTTATATTCGATCTAATCCGATTGATCCGATTTAAACTAATTCAATTTAATCAAAAATCGATTCAAACCGATATAAAATTGAGTTGGTTTGAATTATAAAATTTTAAAATTGATATAATTGGTTTGGTTTGTAATTTTACTTTTAAACCGCCCGATTACAGAATAAAATCTGATTATAAGATAACTTAATTAAATAATATAATCTATTTTTTTGTAGCATTTTAAAATTTCTTTTTCTTATTTTACAAGATAATAACTCTATTAGCTTAATTAAAAAGTAAAAATAAAATATCTCTATATTTCTTAAGTTATTTTTATTGAAAATCCTGCATGTGGGTTCAATTAATACAAAGCTTGCGTTCAACCTAAAACCAATTAGCAGTAGGTGAAGTAGCTTTCCTTATATTTAACCCACAAGTTTTTTGCTTTTATACTCGATGTGGGATTTTTCCCACTTAACATGTCCCCTCACATGCAAGCCTGCTATGAATGTCAGGTCCTTTCATGTGAGTTACGCCTCCTTTAAATACAGGTTCAGTAACAACTTCGGGTCCTGTCAAATGGGCTAACACGGGCTTCCTAGAGTAGAACCTGTGCTTTGATACCATATTGAAAATCCTGCATGTGGGCTCAACACAAGGCCTGCATCAACCTAAGCTTGCATCCAACCTAAAACCAATTGGTAGTAGGTGGAGTAGCCTTCCTTGTATTTAACCCACAAATTTCTTACTTTTATACTTGATGTGAGATTTTTCCCACTTAACAATTTTTTTTATTTTAATCATACACTCTAACCTTAATTCTAAATTTCTAATTCACCTGCAACTTTATTTCTTAAGAATTAGTTTAGCCTTTATTATTAGAATCCTAAATTTATAATTTATTCTTAAAATAATCTTATGATTCTCCTAACTAAATTTTAAATAAGTATCATTCTAAAAGTCTTAAAACTATATAATAAAATTAGTCTTAATATTTTATTATTCTTGAATATTTGATTTAGAAATTTTAAATTTTGATCATTAATACTTCTAATCAATTTTAGTGATATTCATGTTAGATTTTATTCACTTTTAACAGAATTTAAAAAATAAGATTAAATTATTAGTGCATTAAAAAAAACTAATTTTAATTTTTAAGAATTATTTACGTTATGCTAAAAATTTGAAATCATCTTTTATTGTTATTGGTGCCTCTAGTAATGTAACCAAGAAGAATTTTTGGATTTTTTTAATTTTTACAAATGTAAAAGAGTATAAAAACTCGTCTATAATTTATACTTTTTATTATTTTTTACTGATTTGCATGTTAATGTGTTTTATAATTATATTTTTTATTTGATGTTAAAATATTTTTACATTATCTTATATATTTAATAATATTAAAAATTGATCAATTCGATCGAACCACACCGATCCAATTTAAGTTGGATTTGTTTGATTATCATATAATAATAAATTAACTTAATTTTAAAAATTTATTAATTCGATTAAGTTAGATTGATTTAAAAAATATTAAAATTTTAACCAAAACCACGCTCTCCAAAACTAATAATGCCATTCAA